TATAGATTTGAGGCGTCAACGTGAATTTGCATTACTAAGCATTTCGACATTGACCATGTGTCTTTGTTTATTGGGAGGTGGTGAGGTGAGGTGAAATTGGGTTTAACGTCGCGTCCAAGATTATTGCACTTATTCAGCGACGTGCTTTCGCGTGTGTGTGTGTGTGGCTGCTTGTACTAGCACAGTGAGATACCATGCCGCAGTTTAACATGAATACCACTCAGACACAGTATACTGAATCCGAGCCGACCAGTCTTTGTTTTAGCCCCTTAATGCCGAGCGCCAAACAGGGTAACAACAAGTACCATCTTTTTTTGGCATGACACGACCGGGGATCGAACCCCGGACCTTCCGCTCCAGGAAGGGGTCTATTCATCAAATCGGAGTAGTCCGTGTATGGCTTATTATCATACCAAAATTCTACTCTCACGCGAAATTTTGAATTTACTGGTATTTTAACAGTTTGCACAAAAGATTACCATTTTCGTGCACAATGTCGTACTAAATTTCTTGATGTTACTTTTTTAACCCGAACAAACTTGTATGAGTTTTGGAAATATCTCAATGGAAAGAATGTTCATAAGGAAGATACAAAACCCTTTCTATATTCATAAGGGGATCACGGGTGGTCCAGTCGTCTAAGGCGCCGCGATTCGCTGTGTAGAGTTGCGTCCCTTGGGCACGTCAGAAACCCATGATTGTTGGTTCGAATCCTGGTTCTCCCCGATCATATTTCTAGGTATGTCAGCACCACACCCGTGCTCGCGGGTTTCACCTAAGTGGTAAACGTCTGAGACCTGTACCACTTCGGGCTTACCTCCCACATTAAGCTGACACGCCGTGATATAACTGGGGAGCTGTTCAACCAGTCCGACTAGATCATGAGCATGTGACTTTGAATCACTATCAAATACATGTAGTGATGATACCACGTATTCGTTAAAATATTAGCGTATCCTGCCCCATCGGTGGCACCCGTCACAAATACATTCAAAGGCAAGTCACATGTTAACCTGAAAAACACGGGAACATATGGTACAAGTCAAAACAGGGAATTGTATCGGACATATTTTTGTCACTGATGCGTCAGATGTGGAATTTCATCCACATGTCTACAATAAAACGTTTCAAAGCTTTACTGGGGCCTTGAATGTTGTAACCTCTGAGCAAGAGTCTCTTCGAAATATAGGTAGCAAGAGCATGCTCGAACGTACCTAAAAAAATGTGAAATGTTGACACCAAAGGCTGGAGCTGAAGGAATATAGCTCAGCATAAAGGGAAAGTTGACTATTGGAAAGTTAAAGTCATGCCTCTTGTCACACAGTTGTGTGGAGAGTGTTTTGTCACTCTGAATCTTTGTGCATAGGTATAAATATGAAACAAATGAGTCGATCTTGTGTCTTCTTCAGTTGGGTAAATCAGTGGAAGAGCAGTGGCTTTTTATGTTTATTGAACGATATCAGATCATCGATATACCTGAAACTTAAGTTAAACTTCTTGGCCAAATTACCTTGTTTTGACTTTGCCAATCCAAGCAGAAATTCCGATTCATGTGCAAGAAACAGACCGGCAAGAAGGCGAGCACAATTGGTACCCGTGGGGATGCCTACTTCTTGTCTAAATGTCTTTTCCCAAAATTGTACATACATGTAGATGTTATCAATGAGGATGTCCAACATTTCACAAAATTATTGTTTTGACTTTGCCATTTTGAGCAGAAATTCAGATTCATCGGCATAAAGAAACAGAACAGAAAAAAGGGGAGCACAATTGGTGTCTATGGAGGTTCTTCTTGCCTAAATGTCTTTTCCCCAAATTGTACATGCATGTTATCAATGAGGATGTCCAACATTTCACAAACTTATTGTTTTGACTTTGCCATTTTGAGCAGAAATTCAGATTCATGGGCATAAAGAAACAGATCAGAAAGAAGGGGAGCACAATTGGTGTCTATGGAGGTTCTTCTTGCCTAAATGTCTTTCCCCAAAATTTTACATGCATGTTATCAATTAGGAAGTCCAACATTTCACATACTTTTTTTCTCAGTAAACTTCAGACATTTGCTTTCATTTGACAAATTGCCGTGAACTCCTGAAGATTGATTTGTAACTGTGTGTATGGTCGCCACGTGTTTTAACAAATGACCCATAGATCAAGGTATTAAGTATTTCCTTTGGTTTGTCGCATGTGATAGACAACTACAGTCATTTGGGACCGTTTGTACATTTGTATGCTTATCAAGTTGAGGATGCATGTCACATCTGTATTCAAGCGTAATCATAACATCTGAATGCTGTGATACATCAGTTTTTCTTGTCCATATAATTAAGGTTAAGGTCAGTTACATAAATGTATAAATGATAATCCACCCTCGGTAACGATGGACGAAGGTAAAATAGCAATTATTAACAAAAACAATAAGTTTGACTTTGTCAGTATCAACATCAATACGCCATTATCCTAATAATCCTGTAAATCATGTAATCTGTCATTTACACCAAGAATTTGATCTGAAACAATAATAATATCATCTGCAAAAAGCAGGGCAATAAAATTTAACATATCCTCCCTAAAAAAATTCCATCTTCAAAAATTTCATATATACAGCTAATTCCTTAATAATGAGACAAGTAGCGAGCTCATAATGTTTCGTGAGCACCTGGTGTCATCACTATTGGATACTTATTCATTCTCACGTTAAGGTCGGAAGTGTACAATCGACTTGGTTTCAGGCATTGGTTTCTTAGGAATATGGAAAGGGTTTTGTCACTTTTATGTACACCGCGAGGACAGGTAAAATATTTTCAGATTCCTTCACCGATTACATAACACTGTTGACATAAATACTGCGCACATAGTTTCAATAATTTGGAAAAAGTGACCATGGATACCATTTATAAGTAATACATAAATAATGTTTGTCTGTTTACAAAATCAAACGCCTTTGGAAATTTCTTTTTCGTATATATATTATATATACTATTGATTGTTATATATAAATGCTATCAGTTGAGGTGTGATCCTTCTTAAGTCCACTTTAGTATTCACTAATAATTGCGTGTGTTTCAGTGTACAAATGCAATCTGCTGTTTAAGATACTAACCAAAACAATACCCATCACATTCAAAAGGGCTATCCCCCATTCACTGTTAGTGAAGTTGCACAATGATACCAGAGCTTCAGCTCTTAAGAAAATTGCCAGTAATTAAAATTTTGTTAAACCAATTAGAAGATGAGATAACAAAATATATTTTTAAAAATTATATAATTCTGTGGGTATGCTGTCATCACCAGGAGATTTGTTCAGCTTTAAAGTATCTATGGCTGCGATAATTTCATACTCTGGGATTTCTTCAGATAACACATCACAATTTTGACAGTGAACATATTTTTCAAAATCATGACGAGAAAGGTAATCTGACACTTCTTTATTAAATTGTTGTTCCTGATGTGTTGGGGGATTTCGAAGGTCTTCAAAATAATATCTCCAGAGGCTGGAGGCTATGAACCCTTGAAAACCATGTAAAAAGCAAGCAGATTGCATTCATAATACGTTTCACTGCCAGAAACACTGTCAAAGTTGAGTTTCTGAGATATGTTCAACTTTAAACACTATTACAAAATCTGCAATATATATGGTTGACTTTACATGAAAAGGATAAAACAACAACAAAACAAATTATCTGCTTGTTTATTTGACTCTGCAACATTAATGTAACATCTGTCGCGTAAAAATGTCAAATGATATCGTGCACTCATTCGACTGTGTGATATGTGATCATAAGAATAAGAAATCCATGCTAAAAGCAAGGCCTCTGAACGATTCCGACTATATCATGTGTATGTGTTAATGAATCAATAGCAAAAGTGATGATGGCAGGTAGTGATAAAGTGAGCAAAATCCTGCCCCAATTGGAACACCCGTCACAAATACATGCAAAGGCAAGTCAACGGTTCATCGGACATCACATTTGTCACTGATGCGACAATTTGGAAATGTCCTCCTAACGTCTACCATTAGACCATCACCACATGTATGCATACCATATGGAGACAAAATGTCACATGATACCGAAGGTGCCAGTCAATTATTTAACCACTGGAAACGAGACACGGCGATTATTTTAAAACAGGATCAACAGCACAACGATGGGGCTGTTTTATGTAGTTTGTTAAAGACTATATTATGTTTTATTGACTCTAAAATCAATGTCCACGCATATGTTACCATTTCAAATTACACAACATTACTCACCAGTAAATACAAATAGTAAGCCAACAGTGAAGGCACCAGAGATCAACAATAAAAGGTTTCCTGTATACGTTATAAATAATAACAATAATAACTCATTATAAAATAGAGTATAGCACACACACACACACACACACACACACACACACACACACACACACACACACACACACACACACACACACACACACACACACACACACCACTCAGCAACAGTATACTGACTCCGAGCCGACCAGTCCTTGTTTCAGCCCCTTAATGTCGAGCGCCAGGCAGAGTATCAACAAGTACCATCATCTTATAGCGTCGTTTGGTATGGGTGGTGAGGTCTGGTGAGGTGAAATGGCGTTTAACGTCGCGTCCAAGATTATTGCACTTATATAGCGACGTGCATGTGTGTGTGTTTGTGTGGCTGCTTGTACTAGTCCGGTCTGATGCCGATTAATAGTGCTAGCTCACTGAGGTACCATACGCCACTCAGACACAGTATACTGACTCCGAGCCGACCTGTTCTTGTTTTAGCCCCTTGATGACGAACGCCAGACAGGGTAACAACGAGTACCATCTTTTAACGTCTTTTGGTATGATACGGTCGGGGATCGAACCCCGGACCTTCCGCTCTCCGGGCGGACGCTCTACCACTAGACCACGGAGGCGGTCGTTTGGTATGGCGCGGCGGGGGATCGAACACCGGACCTTCTACACTAAGCACAGACGCTCTATCACTAGTCCACTCTAGTCAATATATACATGTTGTATAGATAGATGGCTTGCTTGCTGGCTGGCTGGCTGGCTGGCTGGATAGATTGATAGATACATAAATAGATAGTTACCCAGTTATACGTTTATCGATAAATTTTTTACTATGAGATCCCCATCAGGATATATTAATAAGATGGCTGCCTTGTATCAGATCATGAGAACTGCTGAAAACGATGAAATGTCAGGTTACATGTCTGTACGTGGTGGTGACACCAGTGAATCACACACACACACACACACACGCACGCACACGCACACGCACACGCACACACGCATACATGCACATGGTGTAAACCCCTAACAAACTCATTTAGAGGACTATTAGGTTCAGGACTGTTTAGATAAGAACGCCAAGTCTTATTGTTTAAAAATGTTCATGATGTTGGCCTTGATGGAAGGCCTTTCTGTCTGTTGATTCATCCTGTGAGCTGCCCTGTATCTTGCATTTGCAGGACACCAGTCTTCAGCAGGCTTCAAGGCAAGCGTTACACTCTGCAAATTGAACAAACATATTTACATATTCGCAGACTTGGATGAGGTAGCCATGTGCGAATCCAACACGGATTTTTGGCGTGACGATCGAACGCTTTAACCACTCAACTACCCCCAAAGCCCTTCATGTGACGGTCAATTGCAAATTGGCCCATAGTTTGCCAATCATTAGGTGACGACCCCCACCCCCCACCCTCCCCCTCCCCCTATTTTTAAATAACTTAGATTAAATCGTATGATATGTTAGCAAATTATCACATGAAGTACCACCACAAATGTTCATCTGTTCCTGCAAAATGGAAGCTTGAAGTCCACTGACGCCTCAAACAAACTTCAATAAGTCATGAGCGGGACTGTCAATGTGTTTTGGCTCTAGTTCTCTCAGACTTTCGATCCCTACGAATGTAAATTATTTGTAAGCAATTAGAAAGGGTGATTTTTATCCATAAGCAGGCATCTATATCATGTGCACATGTAAGTTTTTGTATGGGTGAGCATAAATAGAAACGCAATACTCAAAGCAACATCAATACAGGATATACACAGACATATTTATCTGCAGAAGATATGACGCCTTTGTTATGCATGAAAAATTAGATATGGCAATTAAACCTCTTAGGGGATAAGCCCAGTACTGTTTTTCATCCTTCGGGACAGATAAAGTGAAACCACATGTTACCTTCTTTGGAGAGTGCATTGACGTGTGTTTTCCGACAGCAATGGCCATGTAGACCGGTAGCGGGAGAAGTGGGATCACGGCGAAACTCCAGCCAATAATACTGGCGTAGTTGGGAAACTCGTACTTGCCGTAGGTCGGTAGCTGGTAGCTCATCAGTGTTAAGATGAAAACCGTCTGAAACATAGATATCGACATCAAATTTAGTAATGCTACAATTGTCTTGTTACATTGTTTAGAATACTGTAAACACCTGTATTGTTTTCTTCGCGAACACCTGGTGTCATTACTGATGTTGAGTGGACCATTGATGTAATTTTCACAACTATTTTGCCTTTAAGGCCCTGTGGAATCTGTGTCGGCAGATGATCGAGGCATATTTTCTGCTGTTTATTTGAAGGCACTATTGGGTCGCCTTACATCTTTTACTAAAATGGATAATGACACCTATAGACTATACTTACCATCAAAATCACCGGCGTCACAAATGCCAAGAGGATCTTTACTGGTGGTGAAAGTGGTTTTCCATTCATCATCTCTACGTCCCTACTCATTTGTTTTGCCCCTGAAAGAATATATTCACCTTGTTATGTTATGGCTAAAAACATTACATCGAATTTGGACGTGATATTAATCTTTATTTTTATTCTTGAAAATGTTTTGTTTGATAAGTAGACGGATGTTGGAACTTCAGATTGTTCTTCAGCATATATTGGTAACATCATTTAAGGCCATGTATACCAACCGTATATCCACATCACGGCGACACATTCCAGAGTGCAATACATCAGGGGGGCCAGAGAGGCGACATACCAGTCCATCAGCTGGAACATGTACGGGCCTCCCTGCAATACATTGAAGGATGTGAGACGGCTGGGGGAAGCTATTATAATTACTGATTCTATTGTTCCATGTCCTCCTGGAACTGCTGCTAATGATACTACTACTACTAATAATAATAATAATAATACCAATAATACTACTAATACTAATACAAGTACCACCACCACTACTACTGTCCCCGCCGCCATCACCCCATTACCACTACCAGTACTACTACTACATGTGCTGCTGCTACTGCTACTGTTGCTACTGCTACTGCTACTACTACTACTAGCACTACCACTACTACTACTACTACTACTACTACCACTACCACAACTACTATTACTACTACTACAAGTGCTGCTGCTACTGCTACTGTTGCTACTGCTACTGCTACTACTACTACTAGCACTACCACTACTACTACTACTACTACTACCACTACCACAACTACTATTACTACTACTACAAGTGCTGCTGCTACTGCTACTGTTGCTACTGCTACTGCTACTACTACTACTAGCACTACCACTACTACTACTACTACTACTACTACCACTACCACAACTACTATTACTACTACTACAACTACCACGTCTACTAAAAATACAAGTACCACTACTACTGTCACCGCCACCACCAACATTACTACTACTCCTACGACTACAAATACTACAAGTGCTACTACTACTACCTGTCAGGGCGAAAACAACAAGAAAACAACACACACCTGTAGATACAGAATCTACTGTGTGTCCAAGGCAGATACGTATGTACATCACATAACACAACAACTTTGATTCACACCTTCACCACCCAACCCCATGTTAGGAGCTTGGCACGAGGCCTCTGATACGACATATCTGCTACATCTACAAAATAATTATAGTAACACACTTTTATTAAAGGTGAGGTGAGGTGAAATGGGGTTTAACGTCGCGTCCAAGATTATTGCACTTATATAGCGACGTGCATGTACGTGTGTGTTTGTGTGGCTGCTTGTACTAGTCCAGACTGATGCCGATTTATAGTGCTAGCTCACCGAGATACCATGCCGCAGTTTAACATGAATACTCCACTCAGACACAGTATACTGACTCCGAGCCGACCAGTCCTTGTTTTAGCCCCTTAATGCCGAGCGCCAGACAGGGTAACAACAAGTACCATCTTTTAACGTCTTTTGGTATGACGCGGCCGGGGATCGAAAACTTTTATTATAAACATCCAAAGCAAGAAAGAATTATTTTCAAATTCTAATCCGGATCTTAAAAGCATGATAACTAAATTCATATCCCAAGCACTCAAGACACGTACTAATTACTTTTGTATTACGACAAGTAACTAAACAGAAACATACTGTACATTTTGATATTGTATAAGAACTTTTGTGCATTTTATATATTGACACCATGAGTTTGCGCTCCGTTACTGTAAGCCATACCTCACTGTAACCTGTATGATGGCCTCTTTACAGAATAAACTCAATCACTGTCACTATTGCAGCTGCTACCAGTCCTGATTCGAATACTGCAATACAATGTTTCCCATGCTACTAAATTTACCGACAGTTACTAAAACGTTACTAGGCGAGTTGGGGAAGACCAACAGCTGAAGAAATGTGTTAACAGAGCCAACGCCAATTGTTTGATTTCAATAGGCACATTGCGGTTGTGTGTTAATATATTCACTGTGTGTTATATATGTAATATACACTACCACATAATGACATAGATTGCATTTCTCGGTGTTGTATACCAAAATCACCTGTGTGCAGAAAACTATTCCAAGAAAAAAGGACATCAGACACCATCCTCCAGTTACAAGCATCCTCTTGTTGCCCAAGTGTCGTGGATACTGATCAACCAGGGCAGTGACCACTACCTCTATTCCAAGGAACTAAAAGAAATTAAAAAGTATTTTGCATTATTATAACCAGAATGTAGTGATAAAGTAACTTGTATATGGCATGTGCATGTACTTGACTCGGATCTTTTGTCAGATGGCAGTGTAATATAATGTTAAACAATGTTGTATAATTGTATTACATTGTTTCTGTTGAGATTCAGAAGAAGTTCATAGCATAGTTGCCAGGAATGTTGCACTATCTAATGAAACAGTAGTGTGGAAGTTACTGTATTTAGATGCTTGTGGGGTCAGATGTAATCTGGAATCTTCTAGAACATCTAGACTAATCAAGCACTGTTAAGAACCTTCTGGGAGGGATTGAGACTATATAAAGGGGAAAGGGCGCGCCTCCTTCATTTCACATTACATCTCACATTACATCAAGACCAACGGATGTGTGAAGATAACGTTTTCATCCTGGATATTCAGCCGAGGCCTATTTTGAACCTTGGCCACTGTTGCAGCTGAGTGAATACTGTCATCACTGACTGTATTGCTATTACCACATATTGTATTTTTCCTGCAACTGAATTTTGTACTGCCAATCAATTATGTACTGCCATTTTTCTTACCTTGCAGTAATGTGTATTGATTTTTCAACCTAGTCCCAATTACTAGGATTGGATACAGTTGTTTGATATGTGTGGGTGGGGTAGCCTAGTGGGCACACTGTGTGAAGCCCATTTCTGGTGTCCCCCGCTGTGATATTGCTAGAATATTGCTGAAAGCGGCTTAAAACCATACTCACTCACTCACTCGATATGCGCTGCCCACACAAGACAGCTCCTACAATATTTGATCATTACTCATTTTGCATCTTAACTTGAATCTAACATATGTTGCATTGGTGGTCCTTAACCATATACAGAACATGGGGCTTACTATTCCCATTGCTTAATACTGTTTCAACACATCATCATGACATAGTCGAAATCGTACAATCCAGAGATTTCTTATCAATATGGAACGGGTTTTATGGTTTTATTATTTTATTTTCAGATTGACAATGGGAAATGTGAACCGTTCGTGAAACGAGTGAGCTGGTCTAAAAGTGGTAGACGTCATGAGTGAAGGTCAAGGTCACAGATGAAGTTTTGTGAACCAGTTGAACACCTTAATTCGTACCATCGAATCTAAACCAACCATCAGCAGCATCAGAAAGAACAGGAATGACCACAGCTGAGGAAGCGGAAGTTGTGCCAGAGCTTCTGGATAGGTTACAAACCCCAAACCTGGACCTTCAACAGAAACATCCAATGTATTCATCCATGATAGAAAACATATCTTTATTCAATATTAACATTTTGTTCCTATTAGTTTCAACAAAATCAGTAAATACGCTATCGCGTCACTGGATTTTCAGATTCATCGGCCACTTGATTGTCTGGTTTGTTTACAGGCTCTGTCGCATTGCTGTAGTATGTCGCTTGAGTACTTTCAGAAACAAATTGTTTAAATTCCCATATTGTTTATTTTTCCTCGAAAGATATACATATACACCTGTTATTTTGTTTCCATGTGTACAGATTTCATTACCTTTCTAACCATTGATTATTCAAGAGAAACAGCAATGGAATAACCACAATCATGTCTCTTTGGATGGCGATTGTGCCTGATCTGGGACTGGTAGGCTCATGGTCTTTTTTAGTCAAAAATTTTCACAGGATAAACGACAGTTTGTGAACAGAAATATCCTAAATGTTTCCGTTTTTAATGTGAGATTCCTGATACGTTTCAAATAAATGAAAGTTGTTGACATTTTTTCAACCTAAAACGAGAATTCCTTATGACAGTTTACCTCAACACCAACACATTGGAAACCCCTATCGACACTCATGTGTACTTTAGGCAATAGTACTAGTGTATAAAACAAGGAGGTATCGCATCGATGTACGGAGAATGTTAATGGTAGTTCCTACATATTTATCAACTTGCGATATCAAGTTTTTTGGATTCGTTTATCGCATTCATAACACTATCCACGATATGATATATCGTATCATGCTCAGGTACAATGTATATAATATTTAACCAGATAAAAAAAAGGCGACAAAACTATTTCCATAATCATAAGAAATCTCCACTAAAAGCAGAGTACATTGTACGATTGCGACTGTGGTGATGATATGAGGTGTTCACGAAAAGATGATGGTATCCTGCACTACCGGTGGCACACGACACAAACACTGCAAAGCAAGTCAACTGTTCAACTGAAAAATTCACGGGAACACGTGGTACAAGTCAAAATAGGGAATTGCATCGGACATCATTTTTTTTAATGATGCGACAAATTTGGAGATTTTGTCCTCCACATATCTACCATAAAACGTTTTGAAAGCTTTGCTGGCATTTAGCAAATGCAAACTGTAAACATGTATATGCTTTTAACATTATTAACAAATGACCTACCTGTCGAAACTACCTTTGCAATGGGAACACCAATTTTCTTTGCCATCGCCCCGAGAACAGCAAATGTCACCAAACCAGAAATGATGCTGGTTCCCTCTGATGCCATGGTCAATAAGAGGCAATCTCTGTGAACATACATGTATTTCATTCACTCATCTCTTTCTTATGAAATAAAGGCGACAAAACCCTCCCAATAATACCATTTTAACAAAAGGTCAACGCTAGAGACGTACCTATCTCGACTGTCCGCCAAAAAATATTCCACTTGGCGCAAAAGACAAAGCAGCGGTAAAAACAACAAGAATGGGTTATCGAAATGTCTGCTAAAACCAGAGTTTGTTGTATGATTCCGACTGTATCCTAACCACGTGTTTATGAATCGCTGTCCTTCAAGGTATTCGCGAGAAGTTGGGTGTAGTGCTGGCAACCATCACAAACATGTGTGAACTCAGTGTTTCCAACGATATGTGGTATCCACACTATGTATAGTGAAACATCGTTGATATGGAAACAAACGTTCTGTTGCTTCTGCTCAAATTAGCACATTTCTGGATCCTAGGGTAATATACCTTACATTCCAGACAGAAATGCAGTTGTTCAGAGCAACACAGTTACACTGAGATATGTATTTAAGAATTTGTTTACCTTTTTACATTTATCGAAGGCTATCAGTCACAAATTGTATACAGTGCATTATTATATATTTCAGAGTTAAATGAGAAATGTACAGTTTTATAAAACATTTTCGAGAAAATAACAAACGGCAAGAATCGATATTAACTCCATCAATAACCATCTGTCATTAATCTGCCTTGTCAATGTAGAACTAACGCAAACCGGATGTCAATAGTTTGTGTACGGGTGAGACAATTACGATAAAGGGAGAGAATTTCAGGGGAGGTAGCTCTTGTATGACAATAGTTCCGTCAAAGTGTTTTATTGATACTGAAATATCAAGCGTAATGTTCACTGCAGTGAAATATCAAGGGTTATGTTCACTGCAATGAAAACATTACTTTTCTCGACTTCAGAAGTATATAATAAATTAAACATCCTTATTTAAAAAATGTACACATTTGCATTTTAACAACAGTGTCACATATTAACAACACAAAACAATAAATGGTTCCTGTTCAGGTTAGACGTTCTGTCTAGGAACACACTACAATATATTTCTCTGTTGTCCTCATACCTCTCTTTATAAATTCTGCCAACTGTTGTTGAGTCTCGCACAACTCATCAAGCAACTGTTGTTACAATTTACAAGACTGTCTTTGATAGTGTTGTAGTGAGGGCTTTGATTAGTGTGAGGGGCGTGTGGATTGATTTTTCTAATCCTAGAAATATATCATTTGGAAAATGCGTTAGTCTGATTCGCCGTCAAATGCCGAGCTAACAATGAATTTCGGACATGACAAACAACTAACCATGCTTATTTTCCTGTCCGAGCAAGCACTCCAATCAGCGACCCTCGTCATGGATTTATTAACAACCTTGCACAGACATAGTATAGCAGTATTATGCCTCATGCACTTGCATCATTCAAATTTGAACTCATCAATGCGTGACACGGATAAAATAAAACCATATGTCCTATTATTTTAAGGCAGAATATTACAATTCGTGTATCATCTAATTTCAGCTTCGTTTTATGAATATCATTCAATCAGTTTATGATGTATGTAGACCCAAATCAATTTATTACATGATACACGATTAGCGAAACTCAATTAGTGTGACTCGCATCGATGGCTTATCAGCATCATCTGCAATTTCACAGCCACACTTAACATATTAATGTACCTACACATCAAAGGTATACACACAGATAATGACTACCGCACAATACTTAAATTTAACGATTGATGAACTGTACCCAGTTAACAGATTTTTATCAAAAGTTATTCCCGACAAACAGATAACAATGAATCAATAACCATTTTCTCTATAGTTACTGATGAATGTTCTTAGGAACCATCAATAAGTCACCAGGTCATATAATTGCGATTTGTTCTTTTCGTGAAGACCAGATTGACTTGAATTTTAACCGTGCAGACGATCGTACCTACATACAGCAAGTGATACATTTAACATTATACTTTTACATGTACATATATTTCTTATTTACACCATGAGTCCCATGGCTTTGTTCACAAACCATTCAACCAAGATAACTGAAAACTTGTACAAATAAATTAAGAGAAATAATCATTTGTATGTCATTCTTATCAGCGAAAATATATACATTTTCTATGAATACTTCCTTATTGATCGATATGACATAAAACGTCAAGGCCAGTCTCAATTATCCAACGAAAGAGACTCCATTGGGTCTTAAAGGCAAACAAACTGTAAAAAACATATGAATGGATCAGTGTCAGTGATGAAACCAGGTTTTCGCGCAAAAGCTAAATCGGTAGCACCCGCCTCTCACACATGTGTTAATATGTTGTATCAAAGCAGAAAGCCACACTTATAAAGAACATGGCAATATAAACCTCGATACTGTTAAACTGTTAGATTTAATAAACTGCGCCACTCATGAACCACTAAACACGATACATCACGCTATTTCCGCGACATTTTCTCGCCACTTTCGCGTTAAGATTGCGCAGTTTTTGCACCACTTTTGCTCTACTTTCACGTCACTATTGCGAACGTATCGAGCACTAATTCGCGCTACTTGAGAAGGAACTTAATAAACGTAGTGTATGTCTGCACTTCACAATAGTAAAAGGCGACTGGTTGATGCATGTCATCGTATCCCAATTGCGTGGATCGATGCTCATGATGTCAATTACTGGATTGTCTGGTCCAGACTCGATTATTTACAGCCCGCATGTAGCTGGAATATTGCTGAGTGCGGCATTAAACAACAAACAAACAAAACTTCACTGTAGAGATAAAAAAGTTCCAAGCTGTCAAAACATTTGATTTTCCACACTATTTCTCATAATAAACTTGAGGTAAAACTTCATTCCTTGATCCATGGGGCATTTTTTAGAAAAAAAAACATGTTGACCATAGATGCAGTTACATATCTATCTTCAGGGTCCAGGACAGTTTGTCAAAAATAAAAGTAAATGCCATCTGAAGTTTACTGAGAAAACAATATGTGATCCATTATTCTCCACGAATGGACAATGCCTAGATTATCTTGACCCAACATTTGAAATAATAGACACTTTGAATTAACAGAAATTGAAAAGGTTTATTTGGACGATACTAAGTAAGATTTGAAAACATGTATAGCCAGCGGGGCTCCAGTCCACATCGCATGATTTGAGGACGTGCATTATGTACCATGCTCGGCACGGCGATTCTTAATCACGAAACGGCTGCCCCCGTGGTCTAGTGATAGTTATAAATGCTCATTGCAAATCTAAATTACAGTTTGTTTATTTCTTTTCATAAAAGGACCGCGAGCCAGTATACTGTGTCTGAGTTGGGTATTCATGTTAAACTGCGGCATGGTATGTCAGTGTGCTAGCACTTTAAATCGGCATCAGTCCGGACTAGTACAAGCAGCCACACACACACACACACACACACACACACACACACACACACACACACATATATATATACACGTGCATGCACGTCGCTATATAACTGGCTGAAGTTGCGTTAAACAGATCTCTCTGATGCACGCGAAAGCTCACCTGAGACATGGTTGATGGAACTTTTTGTAGCTTGCAGCAGTCCCAGCTGATCCAAAGCCAAGTCCCAGAGAGTAGAAAACCTGCAGACACGCTTCGATCCATACCTACATTAAATATGCATTGAAACGTATGACAATACTTTGATTTGCATAGACAAGGTAAGACATACTCAAAGCACAAAGGCATTAGATGAGTACCTGATCCATTGTAACAGAAGCACACAACCTTTCCCATATTTACATGAAAGCTCTACAAACATCAGAGTCGATTGTAGAATTCCGACTTTACTATGTGCATGTGTTTAAGGAACACTATAAAATTGTGATGGTACTGGGTTATAGCGAAAATGTGAACTTATCCTGCCCCCTGTAGCACCCCTTATAAATACATTCAAGGGCAAGTAAGTTATTCACCTGAAAAAAAACATTGGAACATTGTATTTGTTGAAATGATGCTTCCCACTCTCCTGGGATGGTAATGTTTGGCTTGTGATATTTAAGGATTGTAACTAGTCAATAACATCTTAAGGATAACTATCATAAAAATGATAATTGCCATGAAATTTAAAGAAGAAGTTGAATAAATTTGAGAAGAGACGCACCTGTATGTCAAGTAGTTTTGAGAAATCTGGAACGACGTAGTACAGTATGCCATCTAGAGCGCCTGGTTGTAGCAGCGTAATTATGAAGATGGAAACAAGGAGAAGGTACGGCAGCAATGCGGTCACATACACAACCTGTTGTCAGGAAAGTATTATCTTTCAATACAACAGTGTGCACTTTGTTATATGTGAACATCATCTTTGTAGTCAATACACCCTGCAACATATGGTGATGCCCTGGTTGCAGTATTTACCAGAATCCCAGAAAATAAAACAATGACTTAACTGTACCCGAATGCAAGTTATTAATTAATTCACAATACAAAATATTTAAATACACAGCCTTCAGATTTCGTAGATATTTGTCGAGACAATATTCATTGTTGTTGTTGTTGTTGTTGTTGTTGTTAGTTTTGTTCAAAACTGTACACTAACAACATCCAGTCTGTCCAAGGAGTGCAATAGAAATGTTCAATGTGGCCAACACGTACTAACATGTTGTGTGGTTCCCTGAGAAATAGAAGCGACAAACGCTATTCTATAATCTTAAGAAATCTTTGCTAAAAGCAGAATCCTTTGTTTGATTCCAACAGTATTTCTGTCAACTTACTTTGCCAGCAGACTTGACTCCACGGATAAGACACAGAAACATCATTACATATGAACCAAACAGACACCCAGCTATGTGCCACTGCACAGATCCCACGTCCTCCACGCCGGCAGAGACACCCTGGACATTGTACCTGCAAGGCATACCACACAATTAAGTTAGAAAACCCTTCCACAACACAACTAGCAGGATATTATAAGTTCCTCATGCAAGTGACTGTTAAACAGATGGCGACTCCACTATCGACCCCATTTTAATGACACTGAGTGCATTTTAAAACGTATCTAACGAACAAGGGCTAGTTTGATATGTATTGAAATGCAAGAAAGTAGTTAAAACATTTTATTTATTACTCACTTAAACTTTGCATATTATCTTACTTCAATGTCGAAAAAAGAGTTGCTGTGTGAATACAACATTCGTTACGATGATTCGGCCATAGGCTATTCTCTTTATGCGACCTGGCAATACAGACTGATTACAAGAAAGCATACAAATGCAGCTTTTCGAAAACTGTTCTTAAGAGTCTAACCACAAAGACACACGTTAGAAGCATCTGTGTTCAACGGTGTCATCTAGCTTTACATATCAAACTCGGTTTGACCCTGATAGACTCATCGAATCATGACCTGTTGGAAATATGAATTCATTCGGCAGTTTATACGTTATTGTTGAAATTGTTGTAATTACGGTTAAGCAACACCACTTACAAACCACCAAAGATTCATGACACATGCTTTCATCCGTTGAAATAATAAGGACGACATTTCAAATGACTGCTTGGACAAAGTGGGGCTACTGTCATTTGCAATGCAATGTCATAAGAAGACGCGGCGATGAATGTTGTGATGCTGTTTCGACACACGGTTTTGTATACTTGTGATGCTCTGAATCTTTATAGACCACCTCCGTGGTTTAGTGGTACAGCATCCACCGAGAAAGCGGAATATCGGGGGTTCGATCCCCGGCCGCTTCATGCCAAAAGACGATAGTACTTGTTGTTACCCTGTATTAAGGGGCTAAATACAACGACTGGTGGGCTCGGAGAATACTGTGTATGAGTGGGGTATTTATGTCAAACTGTGGCATGGTATCCCAGTGGGCAAGCACTATATAATCGGCATTATTCCGGACTAGTACAAGAAGCCACACACACACACACACATACGTACATGTAAGTCACTATGTAAGTGCAGTAATCTTTGACGCGACGTTAAATCCCATTTCACCGTACCTCACCTCATGTTTATCATGCCATGATGCTTACACGACAATACATCTGACGAAACAAATAACATTGGGCATAAAAGACAAAACACATTTGTTCCCAAGTTCTGCGAAAGATCATATGCAAATTCTCGGTCTTGACACATCCAAGTTATATAACCATACTTCGGATTTCACCAATAACACTAGACTAACATTTAGTCTCTGAAATCTTATATTACACAATATCCTTCTTGACTCTAAAAATAAAAAAATTCTCTATGCTGATTTCCTAAACTCGCTTTGTGGAAAGCGCCCTTGAATCCTTATAATTGGTAGATGTTCTTGGGAGCTGAACCCATATACAATGACAAATACAAGTCAGCTAGCTTGAGCTGGCTAGACTTGCTTTTGTATGCATTTCTAGATTATTTTTTTTTCATAAAATAAATATATTCCACGGTCATGGTGCAGGACTACAATAACACGTGTCCTGCTTAATCAAAGTTACTCATCTCAACATTTACGTTTTTTAAAGGGGAAAGAATTAGCATATATTAATCATGATAAGAACTAAAATAGATCTGCCAAGTTTGTCTGGATGGTATGCATCTTGGTGGATATCTTACTGCCAAAATTCCTCAGCAGGTGAGTGAGCCAAGGTCCCATTTTCCCACAACTCAGCTGCAGGGATTGTATCTGTTGTATTCACTGCCAGAGGTGTCTTGTTACTGCTGTAGGTTGTATTCACGCCTTCCACACACAGGTCGGTGTTCCAGCTGTTGCCACAAGTTGTCCAGGGCAGGACACTGGAGCAGGACTTCACCATGTAGTAGATGGGCCAGGCAAGATAGAGGCTGTAATAGGGCGTCATGATGACTGTGAGTACGACACCGCCCAAACCAATCCCTGCTGATTGTAAAAACACGTTTATGTTTGTTTCAATAAGGTGGGTCCCATAACGCTCTGATTTTACACGCCTTGGCTGAAAACAATCAACACATTCGTATTATTAGTGGTAGAAGTATCTGAGACCTATATTAAATATGATGAAAGATGTTACCTACCATTCAAAGGAACATCAAATATTTAATATGTCGTCCAACGTTTCAAACATTTTTCAATTACTTTGTATGTCAAACATACCTTTTTTTCTTGATTAGAAGGAGTATATAACAAATATTTGTGGTTTTATGTATCGATGTGTGGCAGTTTATATATTATAACTTTATTAGAGTCGATTGTAATTGGCAGCAAGTTAATTGTGGCTCTCAAGAAATAGTGTCTTGAATGTGACCTTGACAGCTCGTACAAGAGAGTGACCTCCCTTAGTGTTTACAGTTCAAATTCAATCCAAGCGCTTGACATCTTGGTTACCCTCCCAGTATCGAGAGCTACGTTGTGAGGAGCTGGCTTGATCACAGTTATCAACAAACTACATTTTGGACGCTTCCAGGTAGCACTGTCCTAGAATGTTGGCTGAACCTATATACATGTGAGAAGAGGGCGGTACGAGCCTTCCTTCCACGACTTGACTTGCGTCTCAGCTACTTGCCCAGTAGATGTTAGCAGTTAGTACTAGTATATACTCCGAAAAGTTTTGTTCTTCATAAAGAAGAAGTTGACATTCATAAATTCTCTTCTGCGTGTGTCTTCTAAATGTCTTTCAAAGACTGCATAGTAGTTCATTTGCACAAAATGGTATGAGAAACACCTATGTTCCATCTGTAATTCATAATATAGTCTAACCTTATTTACACGTTCATGTTGGGCTTATAAGTGCAAATGCTTATGCTTATGAATCTATAAACATTTCCGACAAAATGATAAGCATATGTTTATGAATCTATAAACATTTCCGACAAAATGATAAGCATATGCTTATGAATCTGTAAACATTTCCAACAAAATGATAAGCATATGCTTATGAATCTATAAACATTTCCGACAAAATGATAAGCATATGCTTATGAATCTATAAACATTTCCAACAAAATCATAAGCATATGCTTATGAATCTATAACCATTTCCGACAAAATGATAAGCATATGCTTATGAATCTGTAACATTTCCGACAAAATCATAAGCATATGTTTATGAATCTATAAACATTTCCGACAAAATCTTAAGCATGTGCTTATGAATCTATAAACATTTCCAACAAAATGATAAGCATATGCTTATGAATCTATAAACATTTCCGACAAAATGATAAGCATATGCTTATGAATCTATAAACATTTCCGACAAAATCATAAACATATGCTTATGAATCTATAAACATTTCCAACAAAATCATAAGCATATGCTTATGAATCTATAAACATTTCCGACAAAATGATAAGCATATGCTTATGAATCTATAAACATTTCCGACAAAATGATAAGCATATGCTTATGAATCTATAAACATTTCCAACAAAATCATAAGCATAATTATGCTTATGATTTTGTCGGAAATGTATTTAGCAAAGATGTTTTATATATAAATGTGCACTGGCCTTTAAACATGGGACAAATGCTCCAGACATGTTGGGCAGCCTTTCCCGAGAACTGACAGATTGACGACTCGAGGAAAAAAGTTGGGAACCCGGCGATCAGAAGAAAAAGGAGGAAAGGGATCAAGAAAGCCCCTGGAAGAAAGTAGACACATGTTATATTTATTGATATACTTAATAGTGAGTGACTGAGTAAACTATTGTTTAATAATTCAGCATCATTCCAGCTTGAGTCTGGACCTGACAATCCAGTGGTCATATAATGAATACGTAACATGTTCAACAATCAGACCGACCACCAAATTGAGCTTTGGCATCCCTCAGCTCGAGCAAGTGCGTGATTATGATCCATGCTTTTGAAGCATCATACGTGAGCTCACGGGGTGTTTCCTAAAACAGAAGCTGACTTGTCGTTATATCCCTAAGGTTCCATTCAAAACCGTGGTAAACCCAGCTCACGAAAATCTAGGGAGCAATCATTTGATTTTCAGATGGGGACGGAATTTCTCTTATAAAATAATCAAGGCACGTTTAAACTTTTGTAATATGCGGCGCATTGTAGGAAAACAATAAACAGTGGGGTCTTTCCTTGCGGACCATGCTAAACTGTCCAAAGAAAAGAATTTAAGAACATGTTTTTTTTATAATTGGGAACCCTGGTTATGTTAGTAATGCCTCCAAACAACGAAAGAAAGAAATACTGATCAAAAACCAAATTCTTGAGGATTTAACGTGACCTAGTGAATAGATGCATAAGGAGTTCTCATATTTAATTTTCCTAATTTATAAGCTTTTTGTGATCAGCTCCTGTTGAATAAACTCTTTGTGCTAGTTCATCTTCAGTGATATTTTCAGTCACATTGTACGTTACTTAATATAACAGGTTTCGTACCTCCGCCGTTCCTGCTGCAGATGTAGGGGAACCTTAGCAGGTTACCTAATCCCACACAATAGCCAACCATTGTTATCATGTAATCCAGATGTCTGCCCCACGTGTCTCTTTGTTGGAGACCTGTTGTAGGTCTTTCTTCTTCTTCTTCTTCTTCTACTTCATGATGTACCCTTGTCATAGGGATTCCAGGATCACCAACGTCTTTCTCGTGGCTCGGCATGGTTAGACTCAGTTTTATCTGAATCAATACAAGTAATACGAGTGATCACTACATTAAAAGTAGTAGATTTCAGCGTTGTGTGTAAGATGTAGTTAACTTTCCCCTTGTAATTGTCCATTATAAACAATGTTTCCACAGCTGTCAGCATTGCTATTCAATAATTTGAATAAAGTAAGACAAGTTTTACAGTTATTATAAATTGTCAAAAATGAATGTACAATTGTAGAACATTGTTAAAAGTACTTTACTTGAAGAATCAAAGTTTCTTAGAATGCTATTTCTTATTCCATACAATCTTTCCAGTTGTTTCAGAAAAGAAACCAGTAAGTCTTTATAAGCTATATTTGATGTCTTCATGAGAGAAACATATATGCCAAAGTCCAGCTTCCACAATCTGCTAATATCGGAGAATGTGTTTACAGTGCCAAAATACATTTTGAGAGACTCTAGGAGTATGACAGTACCTCTAAAGCAGAAATAGCTGAACAATGGCCATAAACAAACTTTTTCAATATAGCTGCCATAGCAATTAGAAAGTGATACAGGTAATACAGGCGTTCACCACAATCACGGGGCATTACAAGGGTAAATTGAAAAGTAACATGGCAGCTGAACATCATTACGATATTGCAACTTATACACGCCTGTACCCATCTGATGACGTGGTCCAGTGTTATTGTGATTTACCATGATATGCATTCTATGGTGTTGTTGGATAACCATTCGATTATCAGTCAGTTATCAGGCAGTCTACTTCATTAAAAAATTAATTCAATCCTTTTATAAACTTTTAGCTACACAGCATATCACTGGTGAGCCAGGATAAGTTGCGTTGTGTGCTGACAATTATGCCCGCATGAATATGAATGAGGTCCGCCCACTGTAACATTTGAAAGGTTTACTTAATCCTATTGTTACTAAATATGAAAGTTATGTGTATCACATTATGTAAATAATTCATTTACAACTTCATTAATTTCGCTTTAAAATTATATAATGTAAGCTAACACATTCATAACGTCCATATTAAGGACCAAGGAAGCGAAAATTTAACGATTTTCGGCAAATATAAGATTTTATAAAACCCACTTGCCTATTTCTTTTTTAGTTTCATTGTTAATGTAATCGGAAAAATCAAAGATCTCTTATGCATATATTTTGGCAATAAATCATCGTGTACGAGCCGAGAAATAGAGGCGAAAGCCGAGATGTCATTTGACTTACATTACACGCAATCGCATGAACAGAGTGAAATAATAACTTAGATGTCAATTTGGCAACTTTGAGATGTAATTTTGTTGATTTTATTTATTACTTTGTATTATACATTTAAAGCGTTGCTTGACACATCTTTATTTTGCTGTTTGACATGTTCGATGAGGACCCGTTGTCGAAGTATGTGTCCGAGAAATTTATTTTCAATAACATTGCGGGAAATAGTGAAAAATCTTTTAATCTATTGATAAAAATGATAAATTGAAATGGAATATGCATTTCAGACATTGCGAAATGTGATAGATTTAATAAATGAATGGTATGACAGGTAGGTTAATAAAATTATATAATATTTTGACTTGACTTGGCCGGTCTACCTGCCTGCGGTGTCTGGTCACTCGTGGCTTCTTGGCTGGTGTACCGGCCAACAGCGTTGAAGGAGTTAAACTGATCGCCACTGTGCTTTGCGTTGACAAGCTTTGATGGATCCCAGCGAGAAATATCAGAGTGACTTCCCTTTGCTTTACACTTGAAATCTTCTTTCTTTCTTTTTAACTTTTTATGCATTTTTAAAGTAAAGATCGGCGTGAAAAAAAGGAGTAATTTGTAGTTGTTGTTTTTTAACATTTGGACTTTGAAAGAGCGGCACATCCGTAAACTAAGTAATAAAAAATGTCGCCTTAGTGCCACAGTATCCGAAAACATTATATATCATCATCGTAGATGATACTTACATCTGCGTAGACGATACATCACCTTCGTTGATGATACTTTCATCTACGTAGAGGATACTACTCACATCAACGTAAAAATACATATATATAAAAAATTATATGTTTGGGATCATGTTCGTAGTTAATCTTCATATTCCCTATTTTCGCAACTAACTGAAATCATTTCAAATTGTCAAAATGTCAGCGCTAAAAAATTCATTCAACAAAACGTTGACACATTTAAATGAAGAGTTACCTTATTTAATGTTCAAATTGATTCCAAATATAAACATGTAAAAGTTGAAAGTCAAAAGTTAAATAAAACTGACCAAGAACTATTGTCAATAACTCGCGAAAATATGGTTACCAAAGTCGATAATTCGATAGGAGATGGTACTGTTTTCTACGTATATTATAATGTACAGTGGTCAAGCTTCCGAGATGGGGTGGGCAGAGAATCAGGGATGATGAGTGATCCTCACATAAAAGCTGGTTCCGGTGTGATGAAATGCGTGAGAGATACGTAAACACGCTCGTGTCCGCTTAAATAGTTTAACAAGCTATGGGAAAGGTCAACATAGTGCCCTCACAACAGAGAACATTCTCCATTTTTCTATAACATACTACCACCGCCCGCGGTATACCGGACCAGAAGTTTACGCACCACACTAGCTAGCATCTAAATATAGTGACCCCCTGACGACTGATCACTGTCAAAACAGAATGCAATGAGCGTCTACCGAATCTCCACAGAAACAACGTAACACAGTTACAATTATTGTTTAACAATAAAATACACTGCCATTTGGCAGTATCTCACGCCTTCCTTCTGCCTCAACTATTCTGTCCCCTTTATGATAACAAAAACTGTTGTTTGTTTGTTTGTTGTTTAACGCCGCTCTCGGCAATATTCCAGCTATATGACGGCGGGCTGTAAATAATCGAGTCTGAATCAGACAACCAAGTCAGCGAGCCTGACCATCCGGTCCCGTTAGTGGCTCCTACGACATAGTCGCCTTTTACGGCAAGCATGGGTTGCTGAAGACCTATTCTAACACTGATCATCACGGGTCCAAAAACTGTTTATGTTTTTGTTATATCGTCAGCCATTTCCTTGACCATATGTTGTAAAACCGCTCTTTCCTGTGTTTGCCAGTGACGTGTAGCTAATCTATGGACACGTTCTGTCCTAATGGGGGACAAGTGTTTTCTTTGCTTCAAGCACTGTTAACAACTTCACAACCTTGTTCATACAAGCCATGAAGGAATTGTAGGGGCCCAAAGGAACACCATATGTTATAATATTATTTTGGCGTTCTTGATATTCGACTTTAAAATGCTTAATTACACAACTGATGTCCATCAGTCCTGGTCTCTAAAGCCAGGACATCAATTGTCACATGATCTCTTGTTCTTCCACATGTTTATGTATGTTTTGCAGAGCACCTATATTATCCTTCAACTAAAAAAACTGTATTCCACGCTGTAAGAATTCCTGAGTCAGTGACTGACATCCTGAGCACGCAATTTGGATACGATGACATGCAGTGAACCAAGTCACCGAGTCCGACCACCCGACCCATTTAGTCGCCTCTTACTTTGCCGGGGATCTATATTCTTACCCTGAACCCCATGGGTGTTCAAGACAATGCATTTCACCCAATGTAATTAATAATGTGGATAAACGCAGACAAGCTCAATAGCAGATGTGGATCAGTTCAGTCACATATTAACGTATCCATCTGCTAAAGGACAAGTTGATGCTATATATCTTGTTGTAAATGATTACCCTAAGTACAGTGTCAATGTCAAACGTTTCTATTCACTGATTAAAAGGTTCCCGGGTAAGAAGGTCTACTTACCTAGCTATCTATCCGCCCGCGCCACACACTCGGCGATCAGTAGCGGCGCTCGGCAAATGTGACTGCTGGAAATCTTCTAGGGCTCTGCCCCTGCTCCAAAACTGAATCAGCCGTTGTGAAGTAATTGTGATGTCCCCTCAGGCAGTTTATTTGTTTCGGATACCCCTCTACTGACCAAACACGGGTGCCGTTTTGATGAATGGGAAAAGTTAATGTCTATCCTTCGAGGGTCTGAGAGGCAGTTTGCTTGTACCCTACACTGAGAAAGTAATTCATATGCACATGGACCCGTTCATCAAATACAGCGCCACGAGCACACGTCAGGGAGATACGGCGCATTATACATGTGCATGGTTATAATTTGGATACGCACAGCTGCATATGAACTGTTTGCATACGGCTAGTATGTGTGGTTGTGGGTGAACATATAAACAAGCTTGTCCAAAAAGCCTCATACCGCTGTATCCTGAATATATACACGTCGTGCCTTACCTTTTTTCACACCTGTTGTGGCCAAGAACAATATAAACGTCCCCGGCATTAAATAAGATTCACAAACTGACGTATCCCTATGTCTCTTGACCCTGGATGCACACATGGAGCAGTAACATCGAAATGATCGATATATAACTATTAGTTCCGTAATCGCGCACATTGGAGCAGGTGGTGGTGAAATGGGGTTTTTAACGTCGTGTCCTAGATTATTTTACTTATATAGCAACGTGCATGCACGTGTATCTGTTTGTGTGGCTGCTTAAGCTTGTACTGGTCCGGACTGATGCCGAGTTAGATACGGATACTGATGCCGCAGTTTAACATGAATACCCCACTCAGACACAGTATACTGACTCCGAGCCAACCAGTCCTTGTTCTAGACCCTTAATGCCGAGCGCCAGACAGGGTAACAACAAGTGCCATCTTTTAACGTCTTTTGGTATGACGCGGCCGGGGATCGAACCCCGGACCTTCCTCTTTCCGGGCGGACGCTCTACCACTAGACCACGGAGGCGGTCACATTGAAAGGAGGACACACTAACCTGAAGGGGTAGTGAGTGTGTTTGGCTGTCTCTCTGTGCGTGCGTTTGTGCGTTCGCGTGGGTTGCTTAACTCCACACACCAATATTCAAGTTATATTGCTGCAGTGTAAATAATCCCGTCTGGACCAAACAATCGAATGACTTATTTTAGGAGTAAGAATATGCTGGTTGTAAGAGTCGACGTAATTGATCGGGTGGTCAGGCTCGGTGACCTGGTATTCCGAGGGCAGCGGACGTTGCTCATCACATCAAAAATAATCCAAACTTTAATATGTAAAGGCCGCCGTAACATATTGCGGCGACTATGTTGAACGCTGTTCACCCATTTGTCCATATTGTTTTGTCAGCACCGTCCAGGTGGGTTTGGGGGCTTGACTCACACATAAAGCTGACACGCCGTTATTGTGGAAATAGTGTAAAAGCAGATGAAAAGGTAACCATAATGAATTTGTTATTTTCATCAATTATTCGCTACTTCAGAATGTTTCATTATGTAATGTGATATGCAGTAAGTATGTAGTAGTGGACGTAGCAAATGGTTGATGCTTTTCTTTGACACTTCTATCTTTTTTTCTTATGAAACATCCTGCTTTACGAAGCCACAATATAGGTGTATTGTATTATCATATTTAAAGCACGATCGACAGGGCGGCCGAATTGCATTTGTCATAGTTGCCCATTAGTGAGCCGTTTTCGGCATATTGTTTTATTGTTTCGAAACAAATATTACTCACGTAAGCATAATTATTCATTCTTAGTTACCCTCTGGTCGTTTTGACCTAATATTCCCGAAACATTCATCTGTATACACACAAGCAGGGCCTTGCTGATATGTTTAATCTCTGACGTACAAGGCAGGCTCTGCCAGTCGCCTAATTAGGCGCCGCATGCATTTCACAGTGCAGATTTGCATCCTTCATGCGGGCAAGAAACCTATATCATGACGGTTTGATTCCACTTTCGCCCTCATTACGTAATTTGAATTTCTGCTCAAAAGTGAAAACAAGGGAATTTGGCCAAACGATGACCTGGTATCATTCTTCCCCGCCCTTAAGGCGGGGAAGTATACGGGAAACGTTAAATTTGTGGCATGTATGTCGACATGTTGGTTTATTTGAAATTTCAAGCCACGCATTTACGGAAACAAAACATACAAATCATGTGCGTCGAATGTTGATGCTATTCTTTTCCAGCAATAAGAGATACTTCAAAATCGTCTTTATGTAGTTAATTGATGCATCTGACCGTTTCTGGTCATTAGCTGACATTATTAAACCATTCATGTGTAATCCGATGTCCTTTTTTCCTCAAGGACTAATTTTCTGATTTTCACGGTGTATACAAAAGAAGAACTGTGCTCCGGAGATCGTAAATAACAGCATAATAAAAATTATGTTCTGAATATGCTTATTCATGAACAACGACGACATCTCAATTTAAATGTAATATGGCTGAGTTCCATATTCTACATACCACACTTTTGTTTGGATGCTCATGTTCACTGGAAATATTTGGAATAGTTATATTCCGTATTTTGAATTAACCCAGTCCCCCGTGTGTGTTTTTTAATCAGTGCACCGCACATAACCACATGTAGTATTTTTCAACCGTTTAATGGAATTCAATGTACAGCCGTAGCTCTGGTCACTCATATATTTTGTGTCCCATAGCTCAAATCTATTTGCGTCTGTACCTGTTCCACTGACCTCGATAATCTGTTGGATGAAGGCACAGCTCTCAACAGCCACAAAGTTAACACCGAAGGCTATGAGGGGTATTTAGGTCATAATCAGTCCCCAGCAGCCACTGCCTCAAGCGATATTGTCTACATAACAGATCAGTTTTATGGCTCCGTCACAGGTGCTCCAAATATTGAAGCAGGGAAAACAAATTTCATAGAATCATTTCAAAAAGCAATATTGATATCCCCGTCACTTTTGGTAACTTTAAATGATGTCTCCATTGCAATTTTTACGGATTTCGATTCGTATGCATTATTTGACTGTCATCAGCGGAATGGTCTTGGTCAGATTGATCCGAATGGACCAGCGGTTTTACTTCTGTTTAGTAGTATGGATGAATTGTCATGTTACATCTTAACAGTATATATATATCAGGCTACTATGCTTGTCGTAAGAGGCGTCGATCCCAATTGCGTGGATCGATGCTCATGATATTAGGCACTGGATTGTCTGGTCCAGACTCGATTATTTACAGAACGCCGTCATGTAGCTGGGATATTGCTGAGTGCGGCGTTAAACGACAAACCAATCAATCATCATCATATGAACTCAAACCAGTCATTGTTACAAGTAAACCACATTCCACAACAGTTACTGACACTGGATAAAAAACAGTATATAGAAAAAACCCAAGTAACTCAACTCATCCTGATCACAATTACTATTCTTTGAAAGAAAGAAATATAAAAAAAAACTGACCAAAAAACGTAAAACAAGAGACGAGGAATCTCCGTTATTGATTAGTCCCGGTATTGAAATGTTCTCAAACTACGTGATAATATTTTGAGTATGTGCATCTGTGGTTGTGACAAAAAGACCTTATCCAGTATGACTTTTTTTGCCATATGGAGCCCTTAGTATTTTCATTTACATTATTATAACCAAATGCTAGTTGTAAAAAGAATGTGATCTATTTTTTGAGTATGTGCATCTGCCAATGTTGTTGGCAGTTTTGATACTATTTCCACATGTTTACATTTGTGCCAGAAATTGCTTCCATTTCCTTCGATCTACTTTTTAAATAAAGATCCACGTAAGAATAGGTCTTCAGCAACCTATGCTTGCCGTAAGAGGCGACGAACAGGATTGGGTAGTCAGGCTCGCCGATTTGGTCGATGCATAACATCATATTCCAATTGCGTAGTTCGATGCTCTTGGTGTCAATCACTGGATGATCTGGTCCAGACTGGATTATTTACAGACCTCCGTCATATGGCTGGAATAATGCTGAGTGCGGCGTTAAACAAGAAACTATTTTTAAATAGACCTACCCTATGCAAATGTATCAACTGTATTGCCCAATACTCAAAATAAATAATATTTTTTTCCACAACAGCGTTGTGTTATTTGTGGTTAATATAATTATGCTCCATCATGCCTTTCAGTAACATCATAATTATGCGTTTGTGAGGCATCACATATGGCGGGGAACTTTGATGCTCTGCATCAATGTTTTCTTGTTCAATAATCAAACAGCCAACTCCCCTCCACTGATTTACCCACCTGAACTAGGAATGAAGGCAACCAGTGAAACTGCTTTATCTGTTTCATATTTAGATCTGTCTCCAAAGGGCTGTATGACAAGAGAGCGGACTTCAACTTTCCAATAGTCAACTTTCTCTTTATGTCGAGCAATATTCCAGCTGCTCCTACCTTCAGTGTCTGCATTTCACAACGTTTGAGGTACAATCAAGCATGCTTTTTTTTAAGGTTTCAGAGAGCGTTATACGACCCTTCAGAAGCTGTGTGACCATGTTACAACATTCAAGGCCTCAGTGAAGCTTTCCAAAAGTTTGATGGTGGACACGTGGAGGACATTTCCAAATTTGATGCAACATTGACAACAACTTTGCATTTGCATGCTTTTGACGGTGTCATCGGGGAAGCAGGATATGCTCACTGTTTCACCTGGTGTCATCACTACTGGCCAGTGATTAATAAACACATACAGTCGGAATCGTACAATGGACTCTGCTTTCCGTTGATATTTCTCATGATTTAGTAAATGTTTTTTGTCGTTCTTTTATTTATGGATGCTATGTGCTGCTAATGTGGATTTCGTTTTTGTTTACACTATATGCATGTCCTCAGAAAATGGAAGTACATAACCAAATAAGTTCATATTTTCAACATTCTTCAATGGATAGTAATATTAAATGCATAAATTCATTGTGTTGAGTGTACTTTCTATTATCTCACGAACCGCCGTCATATAGCTGTAATATTGCATGGTGCGGCGTTAAACAACAAACAAAACAAATATTATTTCATGATAATCTGTGGCAACTTTTATTTGATGTCTTACAACGAGCAAATTCTTTGGGTTTTTTCGTTCAGGTATTTTCCAATATGTAATATTTATTTGGGTATGCTAAAAGACGGTCGGTGGTTTGACCTCGCGTGTTGTGACGTGCATAACGTCACTTCAAACAGCTGATCTATGTCGTGGTCGTAAAACATACACGTGGCTTTTGTTTCCAAACAACTAAAAGTTTTATCTATGACCAGAATGTAGTACATAACGATTGTCACGACTTCCATGGTGACTGACGATGAATGAAACAATTTATCGCTTGACTAACCCCGAGTAAATTTGGCTGGGTTTTGTAATGTACATGTAGGTGCATGTGTTAACATGAGTTGTTCATATGTGATTCAAATTATACTAGTATTCCACGACGATAATGAGCATATGGTTGGGTGATTTCGTTGTGATATTTTAACAATTTTTCAGAACAATAAGTGTTTTTTTTACACTACATAACCTATTGATAGTACACTATTTCCTATTAATTTAATATAATTACCTAATACGTCCATGCTAATTGATTAAACATTTTGTTATCGCGTTCTGCAGTGAATTACAATTGCGAATAATCCGCGTATAAGTTGCGACGGATTAATAATTAATAATAATCGACGGATTTCGGAATTTATGTGAAATCTATTTGGTTGTGTAATGGCACTTATTAGGAGGTTTAAGGAGTTGGTTGGTTGGTTGGTTGGTTGGTTAACGCCGCACTCAGCAGTATTCCAGTTATATGACGGCGGTCTGTAAATAATCGAGTCTGGACCAGACAATCCAGTGATTAATATCATGAGCATCGATCCACACAATTGGGATCGATGACATGCATGAACCAAGTCAGCGAGTCTGACCACCCGATCCCGTAAGTCGCCTCTTACGACAAGCATAGTCGCCTTTTATGTCAATTAGATTTCTAATGTAGAACCTCACATTGAAGGCATACACCATGTACACTGTTGCGGGCATGTTCAGAAAAAAACACTTTCTGATGAGATTTGTTAATAAATCCCACATTCTCTCACCAGTACGTTGTATAATATCTAGTCAAACAATATGCCCTGTTGCCCTTCGAACATGTCGACATATGCTCATTAAGAGAGATCCTTAAGAGTCAATATTTAATGCGATTTTAAAATTTGGCCAACGATTTTTTTTAAATTACACGTTAATGATGTTAGTAATTCGTTATGACTTTATGTCATTATATACGGAGTGACCTTTACCTTCAGGGAAATCTCTTGATTTGGTTATCAGGTCAGTTTACTCTTGAACGCAATGCCACTCGCCTTACAGCAAGTGTCTAATTACAGAGTCGGCCTAATTTACACCAGTCTACAATACTTGCTCTCGCTATCATTATGTTATATTCAATCTGTCATACCAAGTAGGAATAAACAGCTATGCAAGTGTTGCTATACCGATCTGAAACAATTAAGCAATTCAATATTTGATATGGACAAATACCTACAAGTAGTTTTATATAAATTGTTGTACATTCTCGATAATTGTGGATACATCAGGCACAAAGACACAAAAAAGTCTATGAAAGATGAATTGGTGCCTTGATATACAAGAAGAACGGATCTTGTTTATTGTAACCAATAGATTTTATTGGCAGTTTTTTGACAGCTTTATAGTCGTTTTCTCTTATTCACGTGCTCATTCGAATTTTCAGCACATTTAGGTACTTATTAATAATGTCTTATAGCAACATTGTTATTTTATAACGATTGGATCTTATAATTGATTGATCTATGCAGAATCATACACATTGTAGGCGCGGTCGGGTAGCCTAGTGGTTAAAGCGTTCGCTCGTCACGCCGAAGACCCGGGTTCGATTCCCGACATGGGTACAATGTGTGAAGCCCATTTCTAGTGTGCCCCGCCGTGACATTGCTGGAATACTGCTAAAAGCGGCGTAAAACCATACTCACTCACTCACTCACTCATACACATTGTAACTTTTTCGATTTTTACCTCGATCAAATGATTGCTAATGAAGGACACTTACATATGACATTACAAATACCCGGTACAGATTATAGCAGCTAAATGGGTCTATGTACCTCTATCTATAATGCTATGTATATCGTCATACAAAACCCAAGGCCAACACCCATTCTTGATCAACTCCTGTTATTCCGGGACAAGCCGAATAGCGACTCGTGCCCCTCTTTGCGACCGGGTTCCGTCTTAGCGCAAACGGGCATACCTAAAACAATTGTCAACTCGTTGCGTAATGGTTCACATATATTTCCCCATATATTATATATATTCCAGATGCAATTTAAAGCTCATCGGGATATGCGGAATTATGCAGTATGATTGAACACATTTAACTGTGTCTTGGTTATATTTTTAGATGCAAGTAATATGTAAAATCAAAAGTTATTTCTGAGGGATTCTTTGACGAAGAACTTGAAATCATACGCGCATTCTGATTGGTTTGTTGTATTTTCGCACATAACATTCATCGATAGGGGGACCAGTCTTCTTGCAGGTTACGGAAAAGGGCGAGTGGTGACGAATGGTCCAACACCCCAACCCACAAAGATTATGTTAAATGGTCGGTCTCATAGTCCCCACGTTGCAGTCATATCAAAACTCAGATTTCTCTCTATTCATACACTTCATGCATACACTGGACCGCCTCCGTGGTCTAGTGGTAGAGCGTCCGCCCGGAGAGCGGAAGGTCCGGGGTTCGATCCCCGGCCGCGTCATACCAAAAAGACGTTAAAAGATGGTACTTGTTGTTACCCTGTCTGGCGCTCGGCATTAAGGGGCTAAAACAAGGACAGGTCGGCTCGGAGTCAGTATACTGTGTCTGAGTGGGGTATTCATGTTAAACTGCGGCATGGTATCTCAGTTAGCTAGCACTATAAATTGGCATCAGTCCGGACTAGTACAAGCAGCCACACAAACCAAACACGTACATGCACGTCGCTATATAAGTGCAATAATCTTGGACGCGACGTAAACCCCATTTCACCTCACCTCATGCATACACTTCATTCATAACATGATTTGTCCCAGCCTGTCCCTTTTGTGTGTGGCGCACATGCAATACCTGTAGTGAAGGAGATATCGATGGGCGAGCCTCAAAACGCAATGTAAGGGAGACAATTCTTGCATCCTTGCAGTTATTCTATGTCTAAATCTGAAATACCTACCTGCCTACCAACCTGTCAACCAGTTAATCCATGTCTAAATCTGAAATACCTACCTGCCTACCAACCTGTCAACCAGTTAATCCATGTCTAAATCTGAAATACCTACCTGCCTACCAACCTGTCAACCAGTTAATCCATGTCTAAATCTGAAATACCTACCTGCCTACCAACCTGTCAACCAGTTAATCCATGTCTAAATCTGAAATACCTACCTGCCTACCAACCTGTCAACCAGTTAATCCACAGTTGTAAGTACTTTTATCAATAGAAATGTGAAAACAGTGAAAATAAGAAGAATAACACCACTATATTACACATTCAATAAAATAATCTTTCTAATGGCAATTGTATATCATTACTACGAAGTAGTTTACAGAAGTATTCTAATTCCAAAAAGTTGAAAAGTTACAGAACTTTTTGTAATCTTCATGATAGCACTGCCCTGTCGCGTAATGTGAAAACTCGCGGATCGATTACTCCTACTCAATTTAAACAGCCAACAGCAATCGTTTTATTTACAATTGTACAAAAGGGTTGTAACTATAAGCTAAGCAAAATCACACACATGACGGATACTCTAAAACACAAGTAACGTATCTAAACTACTAGATTAGAAACCATGATGTAAACAAACTTATAGTAGAGTATTAGCTTCTCCATACATCAAAAGGCTATGGCAGAACGTTTAAGTTTGGAAACTATAGCTCCGACTTCACGATGAGCTGTCTACTGAAGACTATACAGCCCCATGATTAAACCGGTGCATGTCACTATAGCTTTGACTATACAGCCCCCATTTTATAACCCAGTGTATATCAAAATAATGTTTGTACTGGCCATGCCCTCTGTTTATCCTGTTTCAATAATCTGATACATTCATAAACCATAACAAGATAGGCTTTGGTTGCAATATGAATGAAATATCTCAAGTCTATACATCCAATGTACTAAGTGTATTATGGTTTGGTGTTAAGGTGTATGCCAATGTTGTGTCAGTACTAAGTGATTTTATTCTACAACAACCATATAGCAGATCTCATATTGTTTGACACAAGGCTCGCCTGTAACCTGACTGGTATACCAAGTGTCGATACACATCCCACGGTGTTGTGTCATGTTAAGGGAAGGAGAACTACTCCCAGATCTAAGTCGAAGACTTATACTGAAGCAATCACATGAGATATTCAGTATGTCACCGTTGTCCCTATTGAAGCATATTTTGGGACATGTTTCCGAAAGCCTTTATGAATGAGCACTTGGACAGAAACTGCAAGAGACAATGCATATGAAATCTCTGTAACAATAAGTATTTAATGGTACAATACATCCTAAATGTGAACGAAAACGCCCCGTATAATTATTCTGATGCTGACAAGATTCTACACCAAATCGCTTCTTCGGTATAAGGCTGTAGGTACACTAACGTCGAAGGTGTTCCAAGTTGGCAACTAACCTGAGACTAAAAGTATAAAACCTGGACCCTACGTTTACACGTGAGATTTATGTCAGTACGTGTGCTTTGCTTGAGGTGCTTGCTCAAGGTCCATCCCACATTCAAAATATTGCTGTTATCTCGTTGCTGCTTTTCTTGCAGAGAGTGATTCTTTACAGATGTACCATTTGTCTCGGCAATGGGCTAAGGGAAACAAACATCTCATTCGACACCCCCTTCTATATCGTTATGTGTATATCACTTGAACTTTCCATCATCAATGTGATGGAATTTGCCCTAGGTAATGGCAGCTATCTCTGTTTGGCTTGTTTACATAGTGATTTGCAGGGCGCTTCAATTATTCTGTGATGTTGTCACTTCTCACAATGTGATGTATTTTTTATTCGCAATTCATTTATTATAGTTCATGTGTAGTTGCTTGGTATGCAAAAAATGATAATAGTACATTTTTAAGTATTACTCTGTAGAATATTTCCATGCAAAACGCTTGATATTTCACGTAGAATTTCTGTTAAACTCATATCAGAATGCATGCTGCTTGAAGTGTAAGTACTGTTCTTGAACTGTAAATAATGGACATTATTTTAAATGATAGTAATTATTGTTCTCCTATTAATAGAAAGTTAATATTCCACCTCAACGGTTGGTGAGCTGGGAAACATTTACATTAGATAAATGTCAAAAGAGTGCCAGTCACGATCATGCTTCAGTAAGTGAAGATGTGACACCTTCACCATCACTTGATCTCCAGCATCTAACTGAGCCAGTCCACCAGCATCATTTGGGTACTCCAGGTGAGCTCCGTCATTGATGCCCTCTTTACATTCAGTCACGGCATTCTCAAACAACACGATCTGTGTCTGGCTGGAGGCGCTATAGCGGACAACCTGCTGCTGGAATGTTTGGAGTGGTTTGTCATCCTTCCTGTTGTCCTCGACGTGGTACTTGACATGACTTGTGATGTGGTACTCTCCTGCTGCTGGTACTGTGATGGAGCCGTTCTCGTAACTCATTCCATTGTACAGGAGCTTTCTGTCCGAACCATCAGGATTGGCCCAATTCCTCAATGTTGTCAACTGACACCCATGACCTTAATCGATAATAATCGCTGTTCATGACACCAAAAAAGCTATTCATTTGTTGACTGATCGAGGCGCGTTGTTCGTCAGATATTTGGGGATTTGTACAGGTATATGCATAGTCTGAATTTGTCCAGAGACATCCTTGACTATGTCATCGAAACATAACACATAATGCATTACAAAACATCAGCGATGATAGAAATTGTATGATAGAATATCGCATACCCGTAACTACTATGTCAAAGTCAAGGCCAGAGAAATGTGTCACTGGTTTCAGCATGTTCAGAAGCTGCAAATCTGGATGGACGTCCCCAATGCCCTCTTCATCTGAAAGTTGATGGAAAATGTATGTTATTAAAGGATTTATAGTTGGCTAATGTCCCCAAAAGATTATCTATTAACGATATAATCCCAACTATTCCTTCATAACATTTATGCTAGGAACGTTTTATATGCGTGTTACACGCGTTCTTAACGCATGTTAGGGGAATGAATTTCTAGGCAGTAGTGTATATGCTGGGGTGGAATATAGAAACAGTGGGAGCAGATAAAGAAAGTACATCCGTACATTAAGTTTTATTATAGGGATAGTATGAATTTGAATCCCACTTTTTGCAAATATCTGTTTCAACAGCTACATACAATGCCCAGTCCGTGTCCTTATTGCTTTGGAAATTTGGAAATTAGTTGATGACAGGATAAATGTTTAAGAAAGAAGGACCGAGCATGGTTGGCAACGGAATCTTTCTGAAATAATTGTGATACATTTAGCTTGTGATATTCGGTTAAAGCTAAATACTCAATGGAATAAACATCGAATTCGACAACAGGCGTGAACTAGCAATTGCATGTTGATATTTACTGGTAATAGTGTCAAGTTTGCATAAATGATACTCACCAAGCTCTGTGCCTGTGGTCGAAACATCATTCATCAACATGCTTTCGTAGACCTAAACAACAATATACATAAGCAAACTATCTGTCACTGATAAATATATTTTGTGTAATAGGGCATTTAAGTTAAAAATGTTAACTTTGGATGTGTGGATATCGTTGTGGTTGTTGTTTTGGAAGTGGATATGGAAATGAACGAAGACTGTCAAACCAATTTCACCTCACCCTTTTTATTCGTGGGTGGATATGGATAAATGAATGTCCAGTAGTAGTAGTAGTAGTAGTAGTAGTAGTAGTAGTAGTAGTAGTAGTAGTAGTTACCTCATCCAATAATGACTTCCATCTTGATCCTGTGAGAGTCTGGCTCTCAAAGTTTGATGACGAAGTTCGGTGTGTGGCGAGTACTGCAACCACTACGCCAGTGAATATGTTGAGGATGAACAAAATAGAAAGAAGACAGATCCATTTTGTGGCACTTGTGTTCCTCTCAATGGTGCACTTACAATGACAAGCCACTGAAAATAAAATTAACACCATTTCAATAATCATCAGAACTCTCTGCTAAAAGCGTCAACCCAATATGCTTGTATTAAGCATGACTATGAAGGTTTGACAACGTGACAAATAGTTTCCGTGTAAATTGTGTTGATTAAAATCACTTAATCCTGAAGAAATATATTTACGTTTGAATTGATTGTAACTTTTTTTGAAATTGTACGTGGTGCAGGAAAGGGAGGTAGCACTGCAAATGGTGCCACTGTTGCATCGCGCCGGCAGCTTAGCACTTGCCTCACATCGGCTAGACGTCGGAACATATGGGTCAAGTCTATAACGGACCATTAAAGATTGTAATCTTAGCTAGAATAGCTATCATGTGATTAAGCCCAAAACGCTTTTCAATCACGCTAAGATCGTTTTGTACATATGGAAGAAACTGTGGTAATTGTATCGATTATTGTAACTAGGATTTCTCGTCAGGTTGGCCCAGGAATATAAACGAGAGCAGACTTTCAGGAATCAGATTAAGCTATGTATAGCTACCAGGCAGGTGTGGTGGTTTTATCAAAGCAATACAGTGTTTACTCCCATTATTCAGATGTAACAATAGCCAGATGTGACAATAGGCATCTAGTAGAATAGGGAAAATAAGGCCAACACTTGTAAATAGAACATCCAAAACCATACATCTCCAGTACAGCCTTGGTATCAATGAATTTTAAAAACATAACTTCCCAATGACATATTATACAATGTTATGGATGCGCGAAGAGACATGAAGAGACACGAAAGGAAAATAATAGAATGTAAACAAGCTGTTATCATTTTGTTAGGACCACACCATACATACATGTTGTATGTGAAAGAGTGCAAATAAAAGGTGTACACCTTTAAAGCACACTTTTTTAGCATTTTACTCATGAAACATGTACAACCTGGTGATGGAATGTTTGGAGTAGCTTGTCATCCTTACTGTTGTTGTTGACATGGCTTGTGATGTGGTACATTCCCACTGTTGGATGAAGCCGTTTTTGTAACTCAAATAGTTCAATACGATTGTCCTTTTGTCGGGCACTTAGTCTTACTTACATCATACGTGACAGCATTCAGGTATCCGTGTAAATGAACCCGTATCATATGACATGACGTAACTGGACCCGACTGCCAACATTCTTGTGCAGTTACTGTGCACATCGACAGTGGGCCAGGACTTCATCATAGTTATATTAGGGCTGAGGCTCTTTCCCAGCAAGACACTGACATGCAGGAGGCACGCGTTAATAAACCAACTTGCCTGAAAACACTGCACAGAAACACGATTAAGTCAAAAACGCAGCTTATTCCAGTCGTACACCAGGAAGTGTTCTGTGTATGTATTGTCAGAATCAGAATCAGAATCAGTTTATTCTCAGAAACCACAAAAGGTGGTACAAGAGCATATTACAATAAATAATTATGCATATGTACAAAAAGCAGACAAGATGGCAATTAATAACAACATGTGATTACCTAGCATTTTTAATACTAATGGACATTTTTACAATGAATCTCGATAATTTTTTTAGATCCTGCGTGTTTGTTGTTGATAAGAGTTTTACAAATTTTATAATATTTGGCCATTCAGTATAATATGGTGAGAGAAATGTTCGCCTCTCACTTTTAAAATAATTACATCTGAATAAGTAGTGAAATTCATCAGCAATAGATGGGGAATTACATAATTTACAAGTTCTATTTTCCTTGGGAATATTTTTCCATCGACCAGTCTCATTAGGTAAATTATGATTACAGGTTCGAAATCGTAGTATTGGAATTGCTATTCGTTTTGGCAATAGAAGATATTTATCGAGAACCGGAGTGTCCTTTAAATGTTTATAGTATAAGCCTTTAGAACTAGAATTAACGTCACTTCTCCATTTCTGAAAAAAGTGATCTTTAAGTATTTGCTCTACTTCTGACACTAGCCACTTTGTTGTGCAGATTGACGGATTGTTAAATACATAAGATAATCCAATACTGTCTAATATATTCATAACACATCTAACCCAGGGATTTGTTGATGCAATAGTCTTGTTCCCGTTAATTGACAGATATTGATATAACAGCTGTGAAAGTTTATACACTCCAGTTTGGTATGTTAATTTGTGCCAGAAAGATATCATTCGTTTACAAATTATTATTCTTAATGGTAGCCTACCTAATTCGCCATATATCATATAACGAGGAGTTGAATTTCTTAATCCTGTGATAAGTCTGAGGAATTTGAGGTGTATTCTTTCTATAATTTCTAAATTTTCAAAGCCCCAGATTTCTGAACCATAAGTTAATATTGGTAATACCATCGTATCAAAAGCTGATAATACACAGTCCAAAGGTAAATTTAAATTTCTTGATTTTTTTATCAGGCAAAACATTGCTTTCAAAGCATTATCACTGAGGGACTTAAGACTTGATACTAGTTTTCTATTCCTGTGAAGTACAATTCCTAAATACGTATAAGTGTCGACAATATCTAGAGTTTTATCAGAATAGTGGAATTTATGTTTCGAATTTTTCGATGGGCCACCACCGAAAATCACAATTTTTGTTTTATTTATATTTACATGTAATTTCCACTCTTCACAATATTCATTAAAAGTGTCCAAGGCTTTCTGTAAACCTTCTGGTGATTCATCAAATAATACAGCATCATCTGCATACAATAGAATTATGAATTGGATCCATACAATTAAGTCTTTATCTTGATCATAGTTGAGATTAACTCCTCCACACCCAGATGAAAGCAAAAAGATTTCCACGTCATTTATGAAAATTGAGAATAATAGAGGGGATAGGTTTTCTCCCTGTCTGACACCTATATTACAAGGAAAGTAACCTGACATTTTATCATCACACTGTATCAACGATTTAATATTTTTATACATATTTTGAACTAACGTAAGAAATCTACCTTTGATGCCAATAGTCTGCATTTTCCTCCACAATCCCACTCGCCAAACAGTGTCAAAAGCTTTAGTAAAGTCTATGAAAGCGCAGTATAATTTTTGTTTATTATTTTTTAAAATTTGCATAAGCATATAAATTACAAATATATTGTCAGCAGTTGAGAAAGATTTCCTGAATCCTGCTTGGGCAGGTGTTAGAATATTATTTTTATCTAAGAATTTAGTTAAACGGTTGTTTAAAATTCTGGTGAATAGTTTTCCCCTACACGAGGTTCGCCTGTAACATGACTGGTATACCAAGTATCTATACACAACCCACGGTGTTGGGACATGTAGAGGGAAGGATATACATGCAAATTAAAATCAAAATAGTAATGACAGAACTTACTTTCATTCTGTACAATCAATACAAAACAGAATATGATACAGCTTGTGCAATGCTCAACCACGCTTTCTGTTACAACAGATGGTTATGCATAAACACAAAGTCCATTATGGATGCATAGTTGCTATTATCTATATTGCAGGTGCATCCTCTGTAAATCAAAGTGAAATCAATACACAGAAATAAAAAGCGACAGGAAATTGCCATTTGGCAGTAGTTTTTTAAATAGGCAGAACTGTTAATTAAATGCATATGTATACAATGTATAGTGACGTTGTTGTTTATAGGCAGAAGAAAAAGCCTCTGTGTTTAAACCACATGTAATATAAATTGGTATCAAACGTAATCATCGTGACAATAAACCTTATTGCACTTGTGAATGCCATACCTTGATAATACGCATCCCGTGATGTGAATGGTCATCCTTATATTTAACGGCCACCAACCAGGAGTGATTAACACGGCGTATAGAACAATACTGCCAGTATTGGCCCTGCTTCAATCATCTGATACATTCATAAACCATAACAAGATAGGTCTTATATTTTCAGCCACAAGGCCTTTGTTGCATTATGAATGAAATATCTGAAGTCGATACATCCAATGTAGTAAGTGTATTATGGTTGTGGTGTATGCCTGTATTGTGTCAGTACTAAGTGATTTTATTCCACAGCAAGGTATAAGGTTTCATATTGTTCGACACGAGGTTCGCCTGTAACATGACTGGTATACCAAGTATCTATACACAACCCACGGTGTTGGGACATGTAGAGGGAAGGATATCTACTCCCAGATTTTAGTCCAAGACTTATGCTACTGATGCAATCACTTGGGACATTCAGTATGTCACCGTTGTCCCCATTGAACCATATTTTGGTACACTGTTTCCGAAAGCATTTATAAATGATCTAATTCGACTGCAAGAGACTATTCACAATAAACCTCTGTAACAATAATTATTTAATGGTACAATACATCCAAATTGTGGACAAAAACACCCCCGTATTATTCTTATTCTGATGCTGACAAGAATTTACTAAATCGCTTCTTCGGTATAACGGTGAGTGAGTGAATTGGGTTTAACGCCGCTTTTTAACAGTATTCCAGTTATATCGCGGCGTGTCAGCTTCATGTGGGAGGAAAGCCCTGTCATGTTGGTCTCAGACGTTTACCACTTCGGTGAAACCCACGAGCATGGGTATGATGCTAACAAACCTCAAAACATAATCGGGGCGGATAGGTTTCTGGCGTGCCCAAGGGACGCAACTCTACACACATTGTGTTTTCTGTGTATGGGTTTTGCGTAGAAACTATGTTAAAATCAAATCACGTGACGACTGTAGTAAGTCTAGAATTATTTTAAAACCATTACCGTAGTTGAAAAACATCGTAGTAAGTATCTTGTACCAATGACCATCACCCCCGCTCCATACAAAAAACAAAATCACGCTCAACACTGAGCTCACAGTTTCCATCCCTTTCCAAGATTCCCCAAGTATACAATTCCCCAAACTCTACTTATCATTGAAGGGAGATGCCACATAACTTATCTACCGTTTCGTAGTGAAATACAACAAGGACGTCACGATTTAATGCTTTAGTGTAGGTATACCTATAAAAGCCTGTACACTTGCTGACAATACAGTTTAGCCCTGTTCTGTCGAATAAAGAGATACTGACCAAACCTTCTCGTTGTATTTTCAGTCAATGTAAGTGGCTCGTCAGCTGGGAAATATTTATATTAGACAAATGTCAAAAGAGTGCCAGTCACGATCATGCTTTAGTAAGTGAAGATGTGACACCTTCACCATCACTTGATCTCCAGCATCTAACTGAGCCAGTCCACCAGCATCACTCGGGTACTCCAGGTGAGCTCCGTCGTTGATGCCCTCTTTACACTCAGTCACGGCATTCTCAAACAACACGACCTGTGTCTGGCTGGAGGCGCTATAGCGGACAACCTGGTGCTGGAATGTTTGGAGTGGCTTTTTGTCCCTCTTGTTGTCCTCGACGTAGAACTTGACATGACTTGTGATGTGGTACACTCCTGCTGCTGGTACTGTGATGGAGCCGTTCTCGTAACTCATCCCGTTGTACAGGAGCTTTCTGTCAGAACCATCAGGGTTGGCCCAATTCCTCAATGTCGTCAACTGAGTCCCGTGATCTGAATCGATAATAATCGCTGTTCATGACACCAAATAGCTTTTTGTTGACTGATCGAGGCGCGTTGTTTATCAGACATAACTATATTTGGGGATTTGTACAGGTGCATGCATAGTCTGAATTTGTCCATCTTCCCAAGGCAAGTGAGTAAACTGACTATAAAAGTCCAGTTTCCACCCTTGCCGAACTAGGCTGGTATTATGGAGTTACATTTTGGCTGGACTAACGAGTCTATGCATAGTCCATTCAAAGTCGCGCACCGAAATCGAAATCCGGTTCGTAAAGCGTCATGCAGATTTCCGCCGACTGCAGGATTTGCAAAGCATGTGCACCGCTAACTCGTTGTCAACAGATATTTTCTAAATCTGTTCATGTTTTTAATCAAGGTGCTCACGTGATTTGATGCATTTCGCGATCTAAGACTCGTTTTATCACAATATAGATCTTGATTTTCGATCAGATTGACTTGACTAGGCGCCACCGTTTCGTTTGAAGCAAATGCAAGTGATACGAGAGGTTAAATCTGATTGGTCAATAGGAGAGGCATAGAAAGGACATAACTCGTAATAGCCACTGGTGGCGCTACGATCGAGTCCAGGAATTCCAGCCTAGTTCGGCAAGGGTGGAAACTGGACTTTTAAAGTCAGTTAACTCTCTTGCCTCGGGAAGATGGAATTTGTCC